CTCGAGTTGAAAGTGGGTGACAAAAAGTGCGAACACACAGACACACACAGACAGCCTCTTCCCAATTTGTGTTTTTGCAATTTGCATATATGCAAAAACGCATAATAACAAAATATCGAGAGCAATAATTATCGTAATAGTAATGACGGTTACAAAAATAGTTGTTGGCGACACGCACCGGACAGGCCCGTGCGATCATGCGTTTTTGCAGTATTTCGTGTAGTTTTAAGATCGCTTGGAGTCCCATTAACTAAAATTTATGTCATTTTGGTCCTCGAAGTCCAGGAAGTTAACAACTACATGGTACTTGGTCAGGAAACATTTCCCCAAGATTTCAGCTTTCCAGCTTTTCTGGTCCTCGACTTAGTATTTTTTCCGCCAAAAATTTCACATGCGTGTTCACGCATACTATCTTTAAGTTGTACTTTGACGGAGAATATACCCCTGAAATTTCAGCCTTCCAGCTTTTCTGGTTGCTGAATTGGCAGTTTTCCCGGCAAAACTTTCACGTGCCCGTACATGAAAGCTCTGAGCACCTACTGAATTAGAAATCTGTAGCTCACACATGCAAGAGAATATCTCTGCAAAGTTTCACTTCTCTATCCTGTCTGATTCCCGAGATCGCTTTCCCGCCAAAAAATTTGTATATTTATTTAAGGCGTCCGTATGCGGTACCCAAGCGTACTCGGAGGATGATATTAAAACGGGAGGGTCATACTCCCAAAGTGTTAGCGTTCTAGCTTTACTGGTTCTCGAGTTGAAGGTGGGTGACAAAAAGTGAGAGCACACAGACACACACACAAACAACCTCTTGCCAATATGCGTTTTGCATTTGCATATATACAAAAACGTATAAAAATAATAATACTAAAGTAAATGTTTTGACGTATGCGGTGCGAGGAATTACGGTCTCGTCGTGACTGGGCAAGGAGAACAAGCGAAGCGTTGTTTATATTATATACAATTTAGTTAAGTGAAGGACAGAAAAACAAACTCGGGCGTTTATATAAAAAGTGGGCACAGGAAGAAGTCGAACGCCGGGTCGGGGTCTATTGGATTTTTTTAGACGTCTTGTTGATTTCGATTCGCTACGTCTGAAGACTGAACCATGCGTCCAATTGGGCGCCCCAAAGTGAATTGAATAGTCAAAACCCCCGAAGTGAACTGAATAATTAAACCCATGATGTGAAGTGAATAACCCCAGCCTTGAAGTGAGTTGAATAATCGGAGCCCTGCAAGGGGGAAAGGGAGTTAATACAGGGAAACCCGGTCCTACCTTCAACAGAAGGCGCTCTGCCATGTTCACCTCTTTTGTATCTAGCTTAATAGCTGGATACAAAAGAGCTATTAATTATCCCCCTGGCAAATTTCAATACTGGCTTTTGTATTTACGCTAAATTCCCCGAGGGTATAGGGATAAGATACAGAAAGTATGGGGAAAAATGTTTAAAGAAGAACAAAAGAAATTTAAATAATACTTTGCTTTTAAGAAATTCAAATAATATTTACAATGGTAATAACAATAATAGTAGTAATAATATCATCAACAATTACAATAGCCATAATAATAACAGCAATAATAATAGTAGCAATAATAACAGTGACAATGATAATAGCAATATAAAGTTTTACTGCAAATAAAGCTAGATCGATCTACTAAATCGGATGCATGAAGTAGTATAGGTGCAAAATTATAACGTCGTAGCCGTAGGAAAAGCTGCCAGCTATATGAACGGAGGTCCATGCTATGAACTGAGAATTACCGAGCAATTCAATGCTTTTACAGCAAATCCAGTACAACCAATTGAATCGGTGACTAATACAGCAGCTGACAAACGAAGACTACCCAATTTCGATAAAATGCCCAACAATGTGGAAACGCGAACGCAAAGTCCAGAAAAGACGAATGGTTTGTTTGATTTGTCCGTGAACAGCTCCAAATCAGTATGCACGTGAATGTTGAGGCACATCATCTCCATACTTTCTGATACGACGCTTGCACTAGTTTAACTGTCCCTACGGTCTAAGTTTGTACACGGCTCTAACTATGAATTAGCCTGCGTTTTTCAAATGCAGAAGCAACTTCTGAGTAATATTCTGGGCGTTTACTGAAGGTGCATACTGCTGAGAACTGTTTTATTTGTTATTAACGTTTCAATAATAAACCATTTGCGGTGCTTAGCAGATTTGCTGATGCGGTCTTGCGCTTTTTGCTCAGTTTTATCCGCAGCTGCTCAGTGCTAAGTAGTAATTTTTTTTTT